GAAAGCACAAAAGGCAAACATTATGGGCTGAGATAAGAAAAATTTACTGAAAACAACAATAAAATAAGAAAATGAGCAGTAACAGCAAGAATACTAATAACAAATAATTAAAGCTAAATACATTTATTTCCTTCTCAGAAGTAGGTAGTTGCTAACTGTTTTATTAATGCTTGTACAATTAAAATTGAATGCTTCTGTTTGTAAATCAGTCACTGTAGAGTCTTCCCACTAATGTAAAGATAAATCTCTGCATTGAGCTGAAATATTTTTGATATGGCTAATAGAGAATGCGGTGAACCTTTTATGAATGTGTGATAAAACAAATGATGCAGTCTAAATAATGATACCTCTAGAGACCAATTCGTTTCTTCACATACTTGATTATGACAGTATTCCTGTAGCTTTCAGGTATTGGGTATTGTGCCTAAAGGATGTGCTTTACATTGTGTATGTTAAAAGTCCTAAAGCTGACTTAATGGGGTGTAAGAGCCTCTGATACAGCTCGAATTGTAGAATATACTGAATTAGAAAGGACCTACAAGGATCATCAAAGTTCAGCTCCTGGCTCTGCACAGGATACCCCAAGAGTCACAGCCTGTGCCTGAGAGCGTTGTCCAAATGCTGCTTGAGCTCTGTCAAGCTGGTGCTGTGACCACTGCCCTGGGGAGCCCATTCCACTGCCCAACCACCCTCTGGGTAAAAGACACTCTTTTTAATATCCAAAATAAACTGAAGAGATCAGTGTCTGCCCCTCCTCTTCCCCCATGAGGATGTTGTAGACTGCTGTGAGGTCTGTCCTCAGTCTCCAAGCTGAACAAGGTGACCTTAACAACTCCTTGTATGGCTTCTCCTCTAGATCCTTCACCATCTTTGTAGTCCTTCTTTGGACACCCTACAATAACTTTATATCCTTTGAGTGTTGTGGTGCCCAAAACTGCACACAGGACTCGAGGTGGGCAGAGCAAAATGCAACAATCCCCTCCCTTGCCTGGCTGGTGATGCTGTGCCTGATGCCCCTGCCCAGGACAGGGTTGGCCCTCCTGGCTACCAGGCTCAGATTCAACTTGCCATTGACCTGGATCTTTCCATGGCACTGCTCTCCAGCATCTTGTTCCTTAGTCTATACATAAATCCAGGATTGCCCCGTCTCAGGTGCAGAATTCAGCACTTTCCTTTGTTGGACTTCATGTAGCTGGTGATTGTGTGGCCCTCTAATTTGTCAAGGTCTTTCTGCAGGGCCTCTCTGCCTTTAAGGGAGTCAACAGCTCCTCACAAAGTACTATTGTCTGAAAACTTAGTGTACATTTCAGTCCTACATCCAAGTCCTTTTTGAAGATGTTGAAAATTGGGCCCTGCAGAGCCCCACTAGTGACAGGTCACCAGTCTGTTGTCACCTGATTCACTATATCCTTTGCACCTGAGCCATGAGCCAGTTGCTCACCCAACCCATGATGTGTTTATCCAGCTGTGTGTTGGAATTTTGTCCAGAAGGATCCTGTGAAAGACAGTATCAACAGCTTTACTGAAATCCTATAGGATTCCATCAACATGGAAAACATTTCTCAGGATATTTTGAATCGGAGTAGTTACGTCCTGAAGAACAGCTAAAAATTTTGCAGGTTGTAGATGATTTATTCATAGGAATGATTTTCCAATATGTCCAGTGCAAGTGTTGCTATTCCTGCAGTGATAGTAATACAGGGATGAGGCATAGTCAGTCATACCAGCAACCACCTACACACGCTCTAGAAATACACTGATGAAATTCCATAGACTACTGACACACGGGTTTCTCAGTTGCTCATAGATGAGAGCAGATTTTTTTTTATTGTTTTACTGACATTCCATTGGTAAAGATACTCCAAAAGTAGTTCTTCAGAACAGTCTCAGAATAGCAGCTTCTCTGCAAGTCACTGCCCATGAGAACATACAGCAGATCTTACCTGGAGAGAACACAATATTGTGCTAGTTGGAGGAAAAAACAGTTACTATCATTGTGCCAGACTTCCAAGTTCATTCTTCTTTGCTGAAAATAATATGGAGAAACAGATACCAATCTTTGGCCACAAATATAAAAATAATTTTAGGAGTATAGAAAATAAGGAATATTTTTAGGAGTATAGAAAATGAAAAATACTTTTGTTCTATAGTTTCCTACTGACGTGATAGAAAGTCAGCAATGTGTTGAATTCTGCTCCCCAACACATTTTAAGACTTCGGAAAATGCTTAGTTTTATAAGGTTATCCATGTAGCCTGCTTTCCTTGAATTCAGCAGAGGCTTTGTGATAATGTAAAAAACAGATTTAATTCAGTGTTGGGAGCTTTTAAAACTCTTACCCTAGAAAACTAACCCTATACAAAGGGCCAAAGCCATTAGATCACATCACCAAAAAAGGAAAACTATTTCCAGTGCAGTGTTGCTCAGTACACGTGTTTATTGGAAAAGCTTCCTGAACAGAAGCCAAAATAATAATCTCCTTAAGAAATTATGAACAAAATAGCAATTGACTGAAAATTTTTAAAGTAAGAAAGTGTGTAATATGTGAAGTTGTTTGGTCTTGCAATCAAACTCCTCAGAGTCTGAAGGCAACCACTTGAAAAGATTAATTCCTGTCTCTGCAAAGCTCCAGCTCACAGTATTGTTAGATATTAATCTCTTCAACAAGAATGCCAGCTGTTATATTTCTTTTCTAAATGCAAGAATAGCAAAAAAAACCCAAAACTATAGCAGTTCCACATCTATTTTTTTAACTCCTGTTGTGCAAAATGTAACAATATTGGTATATAGAAGGCCAGGGTGTTCTTTTATTGCAGTTTCTCATATTGACTCATCATCTGTGAGTCACCATGTGTAGGTTCTTAAGTCTCTCCCTCACCTCCATAGTTTAATACTAGTTGAGTTTTAGTTTAATAAAATTGTGATGCGCTTTCCTTTATCTCAGGAATTCCTGCATATGCAGCTTGTACCGTGCACCTCAGGATACTCAGGGCAGCCTTTAGTTTCACTAGTCATTGTTTATTTGGCCTTTCTAAGGAAAGGATTATCATTTGAAAACTGGGTCTGAAGGGGTTAGTTGTTCTTTTTTCTAATGAAACTGTGTGCTAGTTTTAGCTGTGTTAATTTTTTTTCACAGTGGCTGGTATGGGGCAGTGTGATAGATTTGTACTGCACATGGGGCTGATAATATGGAGATGTTTTTGCTATTGCTGAGCTGGGCTTGCACAGAACCAAGGCCTTTTCTGCTTTTTGTACTGGCCATGCTGGCAAGGATGTTGGGCCTGCATGGGAGGTTGCTAGGAGGAGATACAGCTTGGACAGCTGACCAAAGGGATATTCCAGACCATATGACATCATACTCAGTACAGAAGCTCAGAGGAAGTTTGGGGTAATGACATTTGTTTTCATGAGGAACTGTTACTTTGGTGCCTGCTCTGCTGGGGATGGCTGAACCCCTGGCTGCTCATGAGAAGCAGTGAATTAATTCCTGTTTTTACTTTACTTTAGTGCATAGCTTTTGCTTTCCCTATTAAACTGTCTATATCTCATTCCATCAGTTTTCTAATTTTTACCTTTCTAGATCTCTCCCCTGTCCTGCTGGTGGGAGAGTGAGCAAGGGGCTTTGTGGTGCTTGGTTGCTGGCTGGGGCTGAACTACAACAAACTAGTAGCAAAATAGCCCTTTAAATTAATGTTTGGGTTTGATTTTTTAACCTGGGAATATTTTTGAAGTAGGTACACTTCTCAGATTAATGATAAAAGCAGTGTGTTTGTGTCTGTTTTCACTTGGTTTTGTATGTCAGTGAGAAAACAGATTTTAACAGCAGATTTGCTGTAATGCTCGCTTCAAATGTGTTAAATGTTTCATACCTTTACCAGAATAAATCACTTAAGCGCATTATATACTTGGTTTTAATGCTGTGGAAAAAAAATGAAGACCGCCAGGACAACCAGGGGATCAAGCCCAACCAACATGGATTTATGAGAGGAAGATGCTGCTTGACTCTCCTGATGTCCTTCTATTGACAGAGTGACTTGCTGAGTAGATGAGGGCAAGGTGTGGATGTTGTTTATCTAGACTTTAGTAAAGTGCTTGACACCATCTCCCACAGCATCCTCCTAGATCATCTGGCTGCTTGTGGCTTGGATGGGTAGACTCTTCGATGGATGAAAGTCTGGATGTCCAGGCCCAGAGAGTTGTGGTGAATGGAACTAAATCCAGTTGGCAACCTATCACTAGCAGTGTTCTCCTGGGCTCAGTTTTGGGGCCAGTCCTGTTTAACACCTTCATTGACGATCTGGATACATCCAGGGATTGAGGGCACCCCCAGCAGATTTGCAGATGATCCGAGGATGGGTGGCAGTGCTGATCTCTCCAGGGAAGAAGGCTGTACAGAGGGATCTGGGCAGTCTCAGCCATTGGGCTAAGGACAGCAGCATGAGGTTCACTAAGGCCAAGCCCAGGTCCTGCCCTTGGGTCACAGCAGCCCCAGGCAGTGCCACAGGCTGGGGACAGAGAGGGGTCCAGCAGGAAGGGCCTTGGGGTGCTGGTCAGCAGAGGGCTCGGTGTGAGCCAGCAGTGGCCCAGGGGCAGCTTGGCCTGGACCAGCAGCCGTGTGGCCAGCGGGAGCAGGGAAGTGACCATCCCTTGTACTCAGCACTGGCGATGCCACACCTCGAGAAGCGTGTTCAGTTTTGGGCCCCTCACTTTTAGAAGGCCATGGAAGTACTGGGGTGTGTCCAGTGAGGGACAGCAGAGCTGGAGAGAGGTCTGGAGAGCTCGTCTTTGGAGCAGCAGCTGAGGGAGATGGGGGTGTTCAGTCTCGAGGGGCTCAGGGAGGATCTCATTGTTCTGTACAAACACCTCAGGAGAGGTTGTAGCGAGGTGAGGCCAGTCCAGATAGCACGCCAGCCCTAGAACATTATGAATTAAATGAATTGTATTTAATACAAAGCATATATATATACTTGAGTGCTCTAATGGCTTCTTTTGGTGTTGCAGGAAACAGCATACTCCATTCAGCAGCAGACAGTGTGACAAGTGCAGTACAGAAGGCAAGTCAGGCCTTAAATGAGCGTGGTGAAAGGCTAGGTCGTGCAGAAGAAAAAACAGAGGAGCTGAAAAACAGTGCTCAGCAGTTCGCAGAAACTGCACATAAGGTAAGATTTCAGCAGAATAAAACTTAATAGGTTAAAGTCAGATATTTGGCTGTCAGAGTTTGTTGAATGAAAGCATATATCTATACTTTGTTGTATAAAGGCTTGAACTTAGCTCAGGGTATGTATCAAATCCTCCTTGTGACACCTTCTTCACCTTCTTTGCCTTTAAAAAATCCCTTCCATTTGTTGGTGGCTGCACAGGATCTCAAAGTTATAAATTCTGTGTAATAAAAACTTCTCAGAGTTGCCTGCCAAAGACACATTAAAAAAAAATCTGTTTGAAGAAAAAAGTGTTAGTTTAATTTCTTTCATGCTGAAATGCATTTCTAGTATAGCGCTAAAAATACTAATTTCTTTAAAAAGCATATTTGTAACCATATCCTTGAGTATCAAAGGTTTGTGTCAGTTTAGTTTGAGTCATTTATTAGTCATCATTTCACTGGTAATAAATGAGTGAATTTTAACTGCCCCTACCAGTTCTGTTTTCTAGGTAATTTCCCAGAGGGCTCACTCATCTCAGCTTTGTTAGCATTCTTTATTATATACTGATTATCTACAGATAGCATTTTTTTTTAATATGGAGCCTAGCCCTAAGCTCTCTTCTTGGTTTGCAAAGTCGTTTATCTACATATTTTATACAGGTTTTAACTCACTTGATCTCTTTCCTCTCCCTCTCCTTCCCAGTTAAGTCCATTTTTGAATTATTTGAATTGGAAATAATTGGTAATCAGAGAGGTGGAAAGGCAATCAGACCTTTATTTTTCATCATTATGTAGTGGCAGAGCTCCTGAATAGGCGTTTTAAATTACTTGTCTAGAATTTCTGATTGTAGTTAACAATCAAAATCATTGGGTCAAAATTACTATTCTTCTTAGCATGTCTTTGTTTCTGGTGTCTTGCTCTAGCCTTCCTCACAGATAGCAAAATAATGGAACATTGGGAAACAAAGCTGGGAAAGCAGATGAATCCTGCCTCCTCAGCATGGCAAAGAGAGGCTTTGCCTGTGTGTCCCTGGAAAAGGAATGACTGTTTGCAAAGAATTTTTTTCTTTTTTTTTCAGCTTGCCATGAAGCACAAATGCTGAGATACTGCCCAAAGTGAAATCTTCTCAAGAGAAGCTGAAGAGGCTACAATCAGCAACTTTTACAGGAGATTCAGTCTTCTGTGTGCTTTTTCCTTCTCGTTCAGTGGAGATACATTCTTTCAGTTTTTGTGCAGGAAAACGTGTTGCATTTCTACTTTTCTGACTTACTTTTGTTCCTCTTTTTTAATATTGCTACACAGTCCTGCGGTACTTTCTACCTGTATTTCAGTTGTGACAGGAGTGAAAGCAGACATTGAAAAAGGACCAAATGACAAGCTGATCAAGATTAAAATTGTAATATTCTTCCGTGGTTATACAAAAAAAAAGATTGAACTGATTGTGGACATGTGTGTGGAAATAAAATCCAAAGAAGGGGTATAATTTTCTTCATTTAATGTAGCATCAGCAGAATGTGAATGAATGTTAGAATTAAACATCTGGGGTTGTAGCTATAGTGGAGGACAAACTGCTTTGCCCTGGCAAGCAGAAAAAATTGTTTCTTCTAACTGATGTAGGAAGCGTTGCATGTGCACCAGCATTCAGAAGTGCATATCTGAATTTCATTCATATCAGCATTTTACATGTTCCTGTTTTCACATTCACACTGATTATTTGAATAGTATGCTGAAACATAGAGAATGTATGCTTGACGTTTCAAAATTGAGGAAAAAAGTAATTTTTACATCTATACGCACATAGCTGTGTCTCAAACACAATCTACAATTTAGCAATCTTGATATAAAATAGCATTTCTTTTTACCTGTGATTGTGTGGCTAAAGGCCCATGAAAATGAGAACGAAAAGGCCTGAGAGGATGAGCGTGTACTATTTTCAAGACATCTGTTTTTCATAAATTCTACAGTTAGAGTTTTTTGGAACATTTCAGAAACTTTTCTGATTTTAATGACTTTTGTGTTAGCAAGTTGTCTGATTTTTAATATAGAGGCTTTCACAAAAGTATGTCTTGGTACACTAGAATCACCTTCTAGTTTGAGTCTCAGCTTTCAATACGTTATCACTGGAAGGGTGACTCTACTTCATCTGTATTCAGTTTATGCAATATCTGCAGCACTGTATTACTTTTACAAAAATAAGTAGGTTACCTTTCTCCTTCACATCTGTTTTCTTAACATTTTTAAGATGGTCTAATATGCTTCAAGAATGAAGAGGAAAATAAAAAAGAGAAAAATATGTTGCTTTTTTTCTTTTTTTATACCAGTAAGCTAGAAAAGAAATCTTTGCAGAAGGTACAGCCTTCATCTTCTGAAAATGCCTGCTCTTCATTTTTGCTCTCGTCTTACCAGAGAAAAGCTGGCATTATGTGAATGTACTGTATTCATTGTAGAATATGATTTTTGCATTATTAATGACACAACAGTCTAAAATCCTCAGAGCAGTGCTTGTAAGAGACATAAAAGATACTGTAGTAATTGAGAATATTTTACTTATTGCAAGCTGAAATAACTGAAAATCTCATGGAAATGCCCATTTTGTAAAAAGATGCTTGCCTTTTGGAAAGTATTCTCATTTGAACTAAGGACACTGTCTAGTTAGCTGATTGCATTCAAATTTTACATCTGTTTTGTTTGAGGGTTGTTTTTTTTTCCTGTTATTTAAACAGTTTTGTATGAAGCTTTTTATTTAATTTCACACTGGGGGTTGAGAGAATGGGTCATTTGTGTAGTACCATGTGATCATTTAGCTCTATTTAGCACCAGCTCCAATAGTTACCAAATCTAGCACCTACTGAAGTGCAATTTGGCCACTTCTGTTGTAAATCAGAACAGGTTCCTTAACAACACAAGTTCTGAACACTATGTTGAGCTATGTGTAAGTAATGCTTGCCCTGGAAATGTCTGAATGCTATTGTATTGACTGAGTGTTTCTGCAATGAACCAGGAAAAAAGTGTCTGTTTTTTTTAAAATAAATTAAACTCCTGCTAGATACAAAATGTTAGGCTATTTTTTTTAAAAGATGGGTTACAAATCAGTCAGGGAGTACATTTCTGACCACATAGCTATCTTCTTGACATATTTTCCACTCTTTTAAAACTATATTCTGATGCTAACCTCACAAGTCTTTCTCCTGAGAGAAAGAAGTAGATTCTGAACTGCTGCAATCTAGCCTTGCAAATAATTAGAAGAAATGTCTAAAACCCAGGCCAGATAAACCTGAAGATAATTAGTTGTCTAAATTTAGACAAAACGGCATATATTTTCAAGTGTTTACATAAACATCAGCTGGACAGAACAGGATCACAATTGCACTGCTAAGTTCCAGACCTCTTGTGAGTTGAACTGTACTAAAACATTGCTTTAGTCCCACCTGAGTTTTTCAGCATTTTGGGTTGTTTTATATCCTCCAGTTAAGTGTATCATTTTTATCATAACTCAGGACTTTAATCCAACCATCAAAAGCCATTTACTGTGGGAACTTTAAGTAATATAAGTCTTCTGAATGAAGGAAAAGTGGTTTGTCTGTTTACTTTGTTCTTGCTGTTCATTAACGACGAGGTTTTGTAGTTTTTAGAAAAAAAAATCAAGGTGTATAAATGTTTATCCAAAGGTAAATCTTAGAGCTTTGCAGTTTCCTTCTGGAACTTAGCTTGTAGTGTATACAACCTAGTATTGTTAGATAGTCATGTACATAACATATATTATGATTCAGGTTAATGTTTCATATGAAAGAATGTATTTGTAAATTGTAACAATATTAATAGTTTCTTTATCTTTTTAAAGTTCTGAACAGAATAAAAATAATGTATTGTTAGACTTGACTGCTGTACTGCAAACTCTGTCTTAAAAGGCTACTTTTGTGTCTAGCAAAAGTTGTGTATTATGTGAAATATTAGCAAAAATGTGTGCTCTTAAAACTGATCTAAAAGGTAGGTAGGTTTTGCTATGGTTTGCCAGAATTGTACTACTTGCTGATATCTATTGTAACCAATTCCTTGGAAGTTCTCAAAGATGTAGAAATAATTTGTGCCATTTTGGGGAGGAAAAAAAAAGTGGGACCTGCTCTCTTGACTCACTACTGGAAAACCTGATTTTTGTCATTAAATACTATACTGTGATGAAAACTGTCTTTGGATTGAGTTCTCTATTCAAAATATTTATTATTTTTGAGTTAGCTTTTTATATTTCACTAGCAAAATTGTATTGAATTCTAGCAAAACTGAATAAAAACTGTTTTCCGCTGTAGTGATAAAAATTTTCTCAAGCATACTGTAATTAAAGAGAAGTTGTGGAAACTAGGCTAAAATGTTTCCTGTCTAAGCAGATTCCAGAAAATAATTTCCGTATGTTGAAGTTAGCACCCTACCTAAAGGCTGTGTAGGTCAAAAAGAATTCTGATAATTTACTTTCCGTTTCTATGACATGCTTATTCTCAAGTTGTTAATATCTTCTTTTGGCTATCTAATTTTATTGATCATTTATTATCAAAGCACAAGTAATTGTAATTATTCTGTAAGAATCAAACTATAAAGGTAGAATTCTACACACAGAGAAGCAGTCCCTTAGATACAAATGAGGACTACTTGTACACACCACATCCAATACAAAATGACTTCGCTGCCATCTCTTTTCAGGCTTAAACATGATTCCTGTGATTGTAATCTCAAAAATGTCTTGTTGGCAAATACTGTCAACTTCAATTTCTGTAGTTACTTGGTAAGTTTTGCTAGAATTCATGTTATCAATAGATGTTGAATACCACGCATCCCCAATGCCCAACCTATGTGAACCTCTTAGTAAAAGAAATAGATTTCTGGTGGATCAGAAGCTCATTTGACAATGAGCTCTGGACAGTGTTTTGTTGTAGATGGAACATAACTATTTGTCAGTTCTTTTCTATTGTTATTGTATGTTTATCCTGTAAGACAGACAAAATGTTTAGTTCATTTTTGAGCATTCATTTAGCTCAGTGTCATTTTTTAATATTGATGTTATGACTTTCCTAAGTCATCAACTTTATTTGTTGCTGCGTATAAATTAAGGAAAATATGATAGTGTTTTGTTTGTCATCTTTGAGTCATGGAAGAAGCTCAAGCATGGATGTTTGCTGATTCAGCATGTTAGGTTTGCAAAGTAAAAGATATGTTAGTATGTTCCTGAAGGGATAATATTTGATTGAGAAAATTGTTCTTCAGCTGCAAGTCGTGGCATCTATGAAGATACACACTACTTCAGGTAGTGAGCAGGAGTGCTGTCCAGTACTCACAAAGGATTGCAATGTCTCAGATTAAAAATAGCTTTTTCTTATTTCGAAGTTAGTCCCCCATGGAAGTGGTCAGCTACCACTGGGGTAATGACATGAATTTATATAAACAGTAACTTCCCTAATAATTCCAAAGCACCAACTTCTACTTTGTAGTTCATCATTACAGCCTGTTTTGTGCATCATCTGGAAACGCTGAATGGTATTTAATGTCTGTTTCATTTATACTTTTTCTGTTTGAGCTGTTAGTGTCTTTTTGTCTGCAGTCACCTCATGCAGTCTGAATTGTGGCAACTTTTTTTCGTGATGGTGGCTAGTTGGTGTGGGATTACAGGCCCAAAACGTATTTCACTATTTATTTTTACAATGACTGAGCAAAAGTAAACTGGGTGAAAAGGTCTGTTATGTGGAGGCATAATATTATGTTAGATCTTCAATGTTCAGGCCAAGTATCCAGGATAGAAAAGCAACCTTGTTAACTAAAGTCAGGTCGTTTTGGAAGTGTAGAAAACGGATATCTAACAAAATACTAATTGATATTTTAAACAGTTTCAGAGGTTTCTGGTAGCTAAAAGGGTGATAACTTACACAGAGGACTTGAAGCCTGTATTGTGTTGAAATTCTGTTGCTGCTAAAGAGGGGGAATAGTTCTCATCTGTGTTAAGAATTTTTTTCCTGGAGAGAAAAGAAAGAAAATACAGTAAAAAATAAATGAAAAAACACTGACAGTTTTTCATACTATATTGAAAAGGAATTCTTCAACATGTGCAACTAACCGTAGTCGTCATGCTGGTTTGCAGCCAAAACAGTTGGGGTGTTTTCCTGTTTCAGAAAGAATAGATATAGGAAAGCTTTCTTTGCTTTGGCATGATCCTGGAACTAGGACTTCTGCAGAAAATGCCTTTACTTGTCAGAAATATTAAGATTTTAATGAAAATCCTTTCCAAAACTTTCAGTGGTTTTATGAAAAATAGCATTTGGAGACATTTATTTGTTTCTGTGAGAAAACATAGAATAAGGAAACATAAAAGAGAAGGCTGTTAGATTTAACTGTAGATTGCTGCATTCATTTGGAGATTGTGAGAGACTAGTCAAAAGCATCACTCTATTACTTTTTAAGAATAAGGAAGTGTAAGCACTGTTCATGCTGCCAATCAATAGTGCCTGAACCTGATAAGAAGGGTGTGCAAGATGAGCGACAGATTGGAGACTTCTGCATCACCAGGTCAGCAAGCCAAAGGGGGTGATGAGGTAACTTCTGAGAGCGTCCCAGGGAAGAAGAGAAGCATACCTGTTACTTGGGAAGACACTGCCATCACTCCCAGTGTGTGTCTTCCCCCCACTTCTTCCCCAGCTTTATATGCTGAGCACATAAAGCTGTATGGTGTAGTATTATCTCTCTGGTCAGCTGGCATCAGGTGTCCTGCTTGTGTCCCCTCCTAGTTCACTGTTTAACCTCAACCCCTTTGAGGGTGTTACAAGAAGCAGAAAAGGCCTTGACAGTGTGCAAGGCCTGCTCAGCAATAACTAAAACATCCCTCAATTATCTACACTCTTTCCAGCACAGATTTAAAACACAGACCCTTACTTGCTACTATGGAGAAAATTATACCAGCCAAAAGGAGCAGACTGTTTAGTGTTTTCTCATAAATCAGTAGAGAACCATTTGCAATTTTAGCAGCATTTTCTAGGAAAATTTCTTCAGGACAGTTCTGAGGTGTTTTAACCCACATAGAGAGAAATGTGAGTGCCTTTGGTATTTTATCTTACCTGTTCTTTTTTGGCACTTCCCCATGAGCAGTTGTGTAGCATTTGAGACAAGCTGAAAACAGGTCTGTTAAAAGTCAGAGCAATGAAACTGCATGACAGGTATTATTCTTCACTGAGGCCATAAACAATTGCAGAGCTGTCAGTGTCTGAGTGAAATAATAGCTGTATATATAGGATCATTTGTAAGAGAGATGGCTGAGAAAGGTACCATTTATCTACCAGGGAAGGTTTCATAACTTTTGGCATCCATTCTTGTCAAAAGCGTCATTAATGGTTAGCTATTTGCTAATCACCTCAACTTAGCAGATGTTAGATTGAAATCCTTTTTTTTTTCTTTTTTTTTCTAAAGTCTATTCTAGATGGCAATCTCTGCAAAGGTGCTGAAAGAGGAAAGGGAGGTGGGAAGAAAGAGACTATGTGTTTGTATTCGTTGACTAGGTAGCATTCATAGAATCTGTTCCTCTGTCTAGAACAGTACATGTGCAAGGCTATTTATGGCTTCTTTAATGTCCCAGCTGTCCTTCCTAGTTCCCACTTTTGCATATTCTTCAATATTCAGTTTTGGTCATACTGCTCACTTGAAAATATCTCATTGAAAGGGGTGGCTCCACAGCTAAGCTATCAGGATTTTTAAGGCCAACATGAAGTACGATATTTAGTGTTTGCTCTTTGGGGTTTGAATACCTCCTCTTGCATTATTTATTAACTGCATATTGTTGCTGTTTGTAGATGAAGATGTAGGCATGAACTGCACATGAAATGAGGATACTTGACATCACAAAGGCAAATTTGTAGTGAAGGTGTTTCAGCATGTCGAAAAGGTTTAGGATAAGATTTTGCAGTCAAAAGTTCAGAGTATTAGATCACCAAGGTGTTTCTTCCTTATTCTTCCTAAAGGTTTTTTTTCTCCAAAGCCTGTGATGAAGCTGTAATAAATAAAAGATATTTATCTTAAATGTAGGAGGTTTCACCCTGCAAGAGTTCAAAGAGAAATTTCAAATTACTTTCATATAGGTATAAAATAAGCCCTGGAAGTAGTTTACAGTAAATTAATGGACCAGAGTAGAATTGAGATCTGAGATTATAACCCCAAATTTCTTCAGTCCGAATAGAAAATTTCCAGATTCTAGTGGAAATACTTCTAGTTTCTTGATTTGTAAAAAAAAAAAAACAAACAGATACAAAAGTGTGCTTCTCTCTGTCTTGCTTTAACCCCTCTTTAACCCCCAAGCACTGTGCACTAGCACTATTGAGTGGATACTCAATCCTCCTTCAGTGAGATTGGGAGAGAATCAGAAGAATAAAAGTTAGAAAACTGTGGGTTGAGATAGAGACAGTTTAATAGATGAAGCAAAAGCCACACACAAGCAAAACAAGACAAGGAATTATTACACCATCACTTTGAGTGTCCTCACCTCCTCCTTCTTCCCCTGGCTTTTTATTGCTGAGTGTGACACTATATGGTCTGGAATGTCCTTGTGGTCAGCTGGGGTCACCTGTCCCAGCTCTGTCTCCTCCCAGCCTCCCATGCACCCCCAGTCTCTCACCAGCATGGCAGCACAAAAAGCAGAAAAGGCCTTGGCTCTGTCTAAGCCCTGCTCAGCAATAAAACAAAAAATCTCTATATTATCCACCCAGTGTTTAGCACAAATCTAAAACACAGCCGTATACTAACCATTGTTGAGGAAATCAGTTCTACCACAGCCAAAACCAACACACTCACAGGTATTTTTTCCTTCCTGCTCTAGCAATATAGTATCTTTCATGGCATGCAGTATATGCTGTTTGCAAAAATCTATCTATTGTTGCAAAACATATCTGGAGAAAGAGAGGCACCAAAGGAAAGCTGAGAAAAAGCAGCAATAAAATCTCATTGCTGCTCTACTTGGATTTTGCACAGCAAGAGCAAACAGCTTTCAGGCAGAATGCCTTCGTATCCATGAAAGAATCCAGTTTAAGGTACTTTGGGGAATGCTGTGTCTGTATGCCTCTTGTCACAGGCTTCAGCAGCTGTGAGGAAAAAATATCTGTTGCTTTGTGCTCAAACAGCTCTCTGACATTCTCTGATTTAGTCTAAGGACAAAAGTATTT